TTTTTTTTTTACATTTGATATCTAATAATAATACTCTTTAGAAATGGGTATAGTTTCAGAAGACTCAAGAATTATCAACATTCGAGTTCGACAACGACTAACTAATGTCGAAATTCAAAATTTGAAATTAGCAAGTCACATCGATGATAATACTACCTTAAAAGATGATCTTTTGTGGCATATTCCGAATATATGAAACAGTGTAGATATATTATAACACGCATTATTAAACTTTACCAGATGATGAGAATTCTATTCACATATCAAGCTTCATATTGATGTTGTAACTATAAAGGATGAAACTGACGAGTTCTATGCTATGTTAAAGCGATCTTTACTCACAAGTACAATGATGGACATGTATACACCTTTGTTTGGATTGATTTGTTAAAAAATACTAAGCGTACCGATTCTCTTTTAAGATGTCCAATTTTTGAAAGACAGACCGATTCAGATACAAAATGGTATCAAATTTATCCAATTTCAGTTCTTAATAATATTCCCAGAGTACATTTTGTACATGCATGCCGGTTGTCTTGTTTAGCAAGATCTCATAATTATACCAATAACCAATACTTCATGAATAAATTTTTTTATAAGATGGTTTAAATTATATAGTATATTATATGCTTCGGGTTTATGTGAATTTTTTTTACTATAGTGTTTGAAATGCCTTAATATTACTCTCTAAATGTAATTCGAAAAATGCAATACATTAATATAATTTGGGCATTAATCTATAATTTAGAATTTATTATTTTGAGCTACTGTAACTAAAGTTTTTTTTTTATCATTGGGTTGCTATTATAACTGGTATAAGCAATGATTTCAACAGTGAAAAAGTGGTAACTAATATTGAGGGCAAACAGATAGAAGCAACAATGGTAGAAGCATCTTGCTACTGTGGCTATACAGTTAAATGCCTTTGTTTGTTTGCTCAATTCTACATAGTTACTATTTTCTGTTCTAGAATCACGTGTTATGCAATTACCATGGTTTTACATAAATATGACTGATTACTGTCTCTCTTTTCGATGCGATTTTTGTATTCAGTTTTCTTTCGATAATAAGCTTTTATGATATTCTTTACTTGTTGATTCAAGAGAAACTATTAGAGTATTATACTTCTACTGGACTTTGGCGAAGTTATTAACTCAGCGAGTTGATTATTTTGAAAAGAAAAGGCTTTTATGATATGCTCTAAATCCACCAAAATATATTATAGTCTATATTTCACTAAATTTGCTTAACTATGGTGACAATTTCTTTTTCCTTTTACACTAGCTAAAACTAACATTTCTCTGAGTTTTATTAC